ATTTGTGCTGCGGCACCGTCGGAGGAACGCAGAAATAAAGGAGAGAATACTTCACCGTTTATAGCGTAGCGTCACACATGTAAATAAGTATATACAAACGTTTGCTCGACAACAGAATCTCGTCAAGCTTTGCTGCGTTAACATAGCACCGATTAGAGGGTAATAAGTTTGAGACTCCAAAATGTGTGACTTGTATAAAACATTATTTACATTTGGGGCAGACTGCAACAAAACCAGACAAAGTGAACATTCTATTATGTGACATAAATGAGAGGCTGATTATGATGTGACTGTAAAATTGATCAGGGTGACTGATGATGTTGATTTTAATTTTCACTTTATCATGCCAGAATGTGAGGAATATAAACTATAACAGGAGTAATATATAGGATTATTATAATGGCATTCTATTCTTGTCCGTATATATTTACATCAATGGATGTGTTGCGGAAAAGGCTGTTATCGGCAAGAAGGTTGCGCTCTTCATGCGATCACGCTTTCCTTGTAAAGAGTGTGGCACACTAACTGCTTCTAAATATGGTATGTGCATACAACGTGCCGCGAAACACCGTAATAAAAGCAAATTATTGGAAAAAGAAAAATGTGGATAGTACACAGAGTGCAAGTAAATGACTAAAGTGGTGTTTGGTGAAATGAAAAATGTTTCTGGGGGTACTGCTGAATTTAATTCCCAATAATGTGGTTTCCGACTTTTATTTTTTCGGTTATCCCACATAGGCTTCAGAACAGTAAACAATATAATCGTGATAAGTAAGAAAAGTAGACAGCAAACCTAAACAGCTTGCCGTGGTACCACTGGCAATCGGAATCACTTCTATTCCTCCAATAGAAATATGGGAGTCGGACTTTGTCTGTTTCCATATTTTGTGTCAGACTATTTATAGAGCTCCGCTCCTCACTATCAATATTATCCTTTTCTGTTTCTACGGAACAAATAGAAAATTTACTTGTACTATTTGGCTGTGTGGTTGGGGATGAAGCAGATGATTTATCGGGTGACGCCTGTGCTGTGCACTCTGTGCATTTGCATTACTTTTTATTAATGAGTCTTTAGACTCGCCCCTTCGGGCTGAACTTGACTTTTTAATCAAAAAAAGACGAAGGCTAAACTCAGGGACGTCCTCGTTCTGTGGGTCAACTGTTTGGCTATCACGCGTATTAGAAGCGCTTTTCTGAAGCTCAGATGAGGTGGACCATTTATACATGTTGAAATATATTATGCTATTCTAATACATTCGCGACTTTGACAAAAATGTGATTGGCTTTTTATTTTGATTGAAAAGACAATATCCGATACAGTAATTCATTGCAAGCCATCTGATTTTGAGTCTTCTTTTTCGGTGTGAGGTACTCGGAACGGCGTGTTTTAGGTTTGATACGTGGTCCGTCGTGTTTATGTTTGCTTGCATGTCGCATGAGTTGAGTATAAACAGATACTTCGCGTCTGCCAAGATTCTGAAAATACATGTAATATTAATCATCTGCAGTAGAAAACATTAAGGGACTGATAAATTAATTCCTTACTTTCATCTTTAACATCAATGAACAACAATCAATAATTTTTGGTAGTTGAGGGATTTGTGTTGGTAACTCAGCATTCTCCAAATTCCAAATAATGGAAAATTCTTCCCCTAGGTTGATCAGAAGAAGTGCCTCCATTGTTGATGCTGAGGTGACAAAACCTGAGAGAAAAAGCTTGTTGCTGGCTGCTAGTGTATCAACATGATAGCTTCCATTTCCTTCTTTGATAATATTGCACAGGAGCAGATCACATTGGTCATGCAGTGCCTTTGCTTCCTTCAGTCTGACACTTTCCTTCTTCTTGTTTTTTTCATTTCTTGGACCCGCCCTTTCACAGCCTCCCATCTCCACACCCCATGCTACATCAGCCTTTGCATCTTTTCGGGTGAAAAGCCAATCCTGGTGATGGCCTTCAGTTTTTGAGTTAGC